AAACACAAACATATTTTGATGGATTCCTCCCGTAGCATATTGAAATGTACATCTTATTAAATACAACTAGCTAAATGCTTTGGTACTAAGGTACCGTGCAGATCTGAGGTAGAATGGGCCGTCATATAGCTGGAATACTGCTGAGTGCGGCGTTAAACAACAAACATCAACATCTTTGGTATTAAGACTACAGCTGACTGCAGTAGTTTCCGGTTGATCTTCAATACACGTGGTTGCAAAACAGTCCGAGTTCGCAGTAACAACTTTATGACCATTTTAACCAGACACTAAGATTATCTGTAGAAGCTAGAATAGGTATTCTGTTTTGTTTATTCAGTACATGAGTGGGCCAGCGGCCCATAGTACAATTCGGTTCACCAGACATGTATAAAAATACAACTGTGTACACCTAAATACACAACAGCAAGGCATTCATAGATAAAGAATATTACTTCTGCAAAAATAATAGCTAGAAGCTAGAATAGGTATTCATGATGACGACAGTCGGTCACACATCACTCTGTGGCTGACTGACAAACTCACTGTTTATTCCCTCGTATTATTCGTGAGAAACGTTACTTTCTTGTACTATGTTAGATATTAACTATATTTTATTATTACCCTTGGCAATACCTGCACGTTTATTTGGTAATTGGAACATGTCATATTTTGTTTGATGGGCATTAATTCGAAATTGACGGTTGACGAAAGTAGACAAAATTTATGGATAACAACTTCTTTATTTAGTGTGAAGGTGACGTTTCGGTATAGATCCTTATACAGCCTTGTTTGACAAGGACCTATACCGAAACGTCGCCTTCACAGTGAATAAGGAAGTTGTTATCCATAACTTGTATCTACTTTTTCATGTCATATTTTGTCTGTATATTTTAGATATTCTCGTAGTTAATAGATTATGTCAATTCTGTTTAACTGTATTACGTTGTTTACCTTGGAAAACGTATTGTGACTAACACAGCATGTATCGTGTGTGAATGCCCACTCGGGTAATGTATTCGTTAAAGTGTATCGGGTACTAGTATATAATATTTAATCATATGTATACTGTTGTAAGTTGTATAATAATGACCATACTATGTAGCAATCATTGTCACTTCTTCTATAGCATAGTCATCTGATGTTCTGAGTACATATGTATTATCTATAGTTGATTGTAAACATTCTCTAACAATTGACTGGAAACATTCCATTACATAAACACACTCTGCGGCTGACCCATAAATTCACTGTATATGCACTCAGGTCTTGTGTTGTTGTGTGGGTGGGTGTACCTCTGCCAAGCGCGTTGATACTCCGACTCGCGCTTTAATAAATGAAGGAGAACCTATATCGGACAACCCATCAACCCCAACGCAAGAAGCAGGACCCTGACTCCGACTCAGACACCATCTGACAACACACCATCGACAACAAACATTGATGACATTGCCGAACTACTGAACGATACAACGAACAAAAGAGTGTTCCTCCAGTAGTGACAAGGTACCCACCTCAACCACAGCCTCCACAAGGTACCCCCACAGATACTCACAATTAGCAGTGGGAATCCGGGTTTTTGACCACCCTCGCTCCTCACATTAAACCACGTGTTAGGAGTATACCTTTTATGTATCTTACCCAAATTGCGTTTGTAATATTTTATAACTATTATTATCTATTTCAATGTGACGGTTTAGAAAAAAGAAACATAGATATCTTCCTATTTCTTGTGGGGTTTAATCCCAAATTAACTCTGGTGGTGATTTATCAATTTGTCAGCACCGCACCTGTGCTCGTGAGTTTTAACAATGCAGTGAATGTCCGAAACCAGCATCAGTGCGGGCTTACCTCCTACATCAAGCTGACACGCCGTCAGAAATTGAAGTACTGTCCTGACGCTTCAAGCAAACTCTTTACATCAAGGCGATGGGTAGCCTTTTGGATGAAACAGTGGCTCGTCTCACCCATAGCCTGGGTTTAATTCCCCATGTGAGTGAGTGAGTTGGGTTTAACGCCGCTTTCAACAGTATTCCAGTTATATCGCGGCGTGTCAGCTTAATGTGGGAGGAAAGCCCGAAGTGATGCAGGTCTCAGACGTTTACCACTTCGGTGAAACCCACGAGCACGGGTATGGTGCTGACAAACCTAGAAACATAATCGGGGCGAATCAGGATTCGAACCCACAAACGTAGGTTTCTGGCGTGCACAGCGAATCGCGGCGCCTGAGACGACTGGGCCACCCGTGCCCCCAATTCCCCATGTGGAAACAATGTATTCATCTTGACATTTCATGCTGGAAAACGGATGTCCTCCGACGACCTTATGTGGGTCCTATAAACAATGTGGATACATATTCTATGCATTCAGACCGAACTGATCATATGAGATCTATTTGGACTGCCACAGCAATAGTATACTGACAAATTCTCTAAGATTCTAGAGCGAATTCCACAATACTTAGAAATCCTTCCAATAATGTCAATCTATCGCGTCCTTAATGGCGACGCTTCCACGTGTGGTTCATGTTATGGGTTTTGGTTGCGATTAACGTGTAATAAATGTCCATAATGCTTTCGATGCGGAAATAAAGCTTACTAAACCTGATACTGAACCACGGTATTTTAGACATATATTCCCACAAATCATTCTGACCATTCATTAAAGACGAAGGATGGGTGGACTGGTATTGCCACAGCTTCCCTTTTGTTCCACCAACTGAGCTCATGCTCTCATATATCCAAACACATTTTTAAAATTCACCAGACAGAAATCTAAGCTGCGATATCAATATCCACTCATGACATACATATTTAATACCTTAGGGAGCATATAACATTTCAACAATAGGACATTAAAGAAATGATAAGAAATAAGCAGGATGAAGGTGTTCCTACATTTGTTTATTGTTCAAGTAATTCTACATGGAGCATCTGGCATATCAGTCAGCGCCTTTAATCAAATCTCTTATACAAACGTGTATGTGAATATCTCTAGTGGTAAAGTGGGAGCTTTTGTTGTTTTGAGTGTGAAATCGTCTACGGAATGTGCCTCCATCTGCTCCATATTGTCATGCCCAATGTTTAGATATAGACGAAGACAGTGTGGTTTGCATAATGATACTTGGGTTCAAGGCGGATATATCAAGGGAGAGTGGTTGTATTATAGAAACCGTGACGGTAAATACACTTTCACTTTTCTTCAGAATATGATGATTTCTTTGTAAACAGTCCATAGCTTTCTTGAAGGGGTCTGTGTTCATCACTCGTGAAGGTGATGTACTTGCGTTTGTAGAATCATTGAACATATTGTTACCTATTTAAAAGTTACTTTAACGATTCAAAGATACGGTCCTTTATATGATCATTCAATGTCGCTGTAGTTTACTCTTGGAACTGGAGACCCGTGAAGATTCCGGGGTAGAATAGGTCTTCAGCAACCCATACTTGCCGTAAAAGGCGACTATGCTTGTCGTAAAAGGCGACTAACGGGATCGGGTGGTCAGGCTCGCTGACTTGGTTGATACATGTCATCGATCCAGATTGCGTAGATCGATGCTCTTGATGTCAATCACTGGATTGTCTGGTCCAGACTCGATTATATTACAGACCGCCGCCATATAGCTGGAATATTGTTGAGTGCGGCGTTAAACAACAAACAAACAAACAAACAAACAAATCTTGGAACTGGAATCTCGCCTATTCAATCACTGACAAGATGTCAAGTAGTCCGTATTCTACTTCGTGCGTGGGCGTGTGTGTAACGTGTGCGTTCGGCTAAATGCGTATAGAAAGCATTTCATGTTCAAACTTGGAGTAAGTGTAGTGATCTAATCTTTAGAATCACATGAAATATATGGCCAACCCGAACCAAGTCTTTGGTTTTGTGTTCAAATGTGGATAAACTTATATAATATTAGCTCATGTATTGTAACGTTTTCAGTACTCGTTATCGGGACCGTCTGCTTTTTTATTGAATGTGCAGAAAATACTGACGTTGTGTTTGGTGCATATAGGTATATGCATGTAAGTGTCCAAATTAACCCTAGATTCACACTACTACTACTACTACTACTACTACTTCTACATTCAGCTTAACTGCCCACGGTGGCATCCTACACGTGAAGACCGGTGTCCTATGTATGTATTATCACCTTAAAGGGATGAACGCAAATACATATGCACAGGTAGACACACTTATTTCGTACATGTGGCCATGATGCATTTTGTTATCGGAACATTTGTCGTGGAATACCATTACTTTATTGAAACTAAATAAATATGCATGTTTTGAATTTGATTAATATTCAATGTATCATCTTCCTTCAAATATCTAATTGACAAAAAAGAAAGTCTGAGAAGACTGTGGCTGTTGTTAGCTGTTCACGAACTTACAGATTTTATTTGTGTTGGATAGGTATAGTAATAGTCATGTAAGTATTTCATTCTCATGTCTTCATGCACAGGACATATTACTAACACATAGTATTCATCTTCTTGGTCATACACATCGATGTTAAAATATCATTTTCTTTGGAATGTCTGTATTACTGAACATTAAGGGCATGTATACCTCATCTGAACGTCGTTAAACATCTGCGTAAACATATAGAATGAATAGCTGTTACATACATGCTGTAAACATGGAATATGCACGTAGCCATTTTGAACAAATGAACAAACGATACAAATGGACATTAACCAAGTGTTATGTACATATCAGTTGAATAATAATTGATAACCATTATTAACACAGAGACACTGTCTCAGTTTGTGACAAGGTCTAAATCCTTAGACTGGAAATGGGCACAAGACCATAGTCATTTTCTTTCTTGAACAAAACCTTGTCTTATTTGTTTGCTCTCTGTAAACTTAATGACACGCCTCGTGATAAAATATTCATGATAATTTATATAGTTACCAATTGGCGCCAGACAACGAAATTCATTTACGTCGTTTAAAAGTGATATGCTTTATTTCTTTACAGTTATTATCAATACAACTACAACACCATCCCATACAACGACAACGAGACCAGCACAATATGAAAGTATGTGGAATCTCATTAGAATATTTGATACATCCCACCTAATTCTGACTTTGATCAATAAATGTGTCAATTAACGCTGTTATCTTTATATACACATGTCCTATCTTGGTTGGCAATGTTACATGCCCGTTACATATATTCATAATCCTCAAGCTGCGTCAAACTAAATTCACTCAGCAATAACAATTATCCGATATCAATGACACAATTCAACACAATAATGCAACACAAGCGCCGCCCACTTCATTATCAGCCACTCAAGAAATATGTTTATAATGTATTCATTTTTCAATTTACAAACTTCATTTATAAAAATACAATACCTTGCAATTTTTCATACCCTTATTCGTGTCACATGAAATGGCACCCGTTATTTTGTTCAATCCAACACTAGTGAGTGAGTGAGTTGGGTTTTACGCCGCTTTCAACGGTATTCCAGTTATATCACGGCGTGTCAGCTTAAAGTGGGAGGAAAGCCCGAAGTGATGCAGGTCTCAGACGTTTACCACTTCAGTGAAAGCCACGAGGACGGGTATGGTGCTGACAAACCTAGAAACATAATTGGGGCGAACCGGGATTCGAACCCACAATTATAGGTTTCTGGAATGCCCAGGAGACGCATCTCTGCACAGCGAATCGCGGCACGTAAGACGACTGGGCCAACCGCGACCCTAATTCAATCAGCTAAATCCCAATATTCCGACCAACATCATTTGAATGACACATGAATGCTGTAATGTATGTGAACTATGCTTAGTCAACGCAATGAGAAAATGTGATTAACATGGTGAGATTTGTTAAAAAATGAATCTGTTTGATTTCTTGTAGAGACATGTGCTCACGCAGCAACGTACTTTGAAGACTTCTGTTACTCATTTATAGGAAAGAAACAGAACAACAGACGTGCGGTGGTAAGTATTCGCTGTTTTCGGTCACTGTTTTAAGACTTTTATGTCTCCGAAAGAACAGATTTTGAAAGGAGACCTAACCGAGGCACAACGTTCTTTTTCAAGTAGAATCAAAATGTTGCCATGTATAGAGCTATTGTTCTAAATATATGTACTTTTTTGTAAGGAAGATACCAGATCATGTTTCCATTTCATCTTTATCTTTCTAAAGGTTCATTTCTGAATTTACGATAATGAGCTTTAACGTTGAGCAGACATGAGTACTATTTACTGATTTATCTTTAGGTTAATATGATTTACGAAAGTAGTAGTGTAGTAAATTGTGTAACAGCCATGAAACATATTTTCCGATGTCAGTATTAAAATAAAATATTGACCTGAAATTACATTAGCAATACATTAATTGGTACGTAAAATTATCTCATTGTATTGACGAATCTTTGAATCATTTCAAAGCACTCGTGCAGATGTCCTAGCGATATTTCTTTTTATTTTCCCTCGTTTCACGCATGATACTAATAACAATGGCAAAACCAGAAAATAAATTAACACACAACTGGCACTTTTTTCTGAAGCAAATTATCTTAATTGAAAGTTTGTGTTATCAGTTTCTGGTTCAAATTGAAGCGTTTTCTTTATTTGACAGGGGGACAAATTAGCGTGGAATAGTAGCACTAGGTTTAATAAATGAGCAAAAATAATGTTGTCCGAGGAAGTGGTATCACACGCCGAATTGTCCTGTTCCAGAATGATTTTGTGATTCATATCAATCCTGTGAATTAACTGGTCATCTTCCAATACACGTACATGTCTACAGGTAACTTGGTTAATCTTTCATTTTGGAGCATCGATCATATTTCTTAAACAGAAGCACTGAATCACTTGAAACACTATGATTTGTACGCTCATATTATCTAATTGCAGGCTCAATGTCGAGGGGATGACTTGGGTTATCTCGCTGAAGTAAAAAACGAACAAACTCAATCATTTATGAAATCATTTCTTCAAAATAGAGGTAAGTTTACATTGTATACATAACATAAGATCGAACATTACCATTGGGCTCAATAGTCACCTCAGCGAGATACATACTTGTACAATAAGCGGTTTAGCCAAGGTGGTGCGTCTGGTGGAAATATTATCATTTGTCCTTAAAGACTGAATACAGCCGTCATATTGCTCACTACGGATATCATGACGTCACTATGTTTGATGTTACGTCACTTGCTTGTCACGTTACAATTCACCTTTCTCGCACTTTGACTTGTCAGATGGCGGTCTCAATATTGACCTTAATGTCACCAAAAATCATTCTTCGTAACTTGTGGACTGGTGATGATGAATTCGTTACATGTGTCAATAGCGGAGTGTGCTGTATTTTACAAGTCAAACGTTCGTGTACATCCCACGACCTTCGGTCTCAAGATGTACAAATACAAACAATAAATCCATTTCCATAATCATAAGAAATCCATTGTACGACTACAGGTATATCCTAAGCATTTGCTTCTCAATTTCTGCTCGGATTGGCAAGTTTAACTTCAGCTTCAAGTATATCGATGATCTGATATCGTTCAATAACGGTCAAATAGCCAAGCCCCCCCCCCCCCCCCCTTTCCACTGATTCAACAACTTGAATACGAAATAAAAGAGACCAGTGAAACTGCCTTATCTGGTTAATATTTTTGTCTATGCGTAAAGACTCAGAGTGACTGTATGACAATTCTCCTTATGTCGAGCAATATTCTAGTAGCTCAAGCCTTTGGTGTCGATATCTCACAACTTTTGAGGTACAATCGAGCAGGCTTCCTTTATGACGATTTCAAAGAGCGTCATACGGCTATTGCTCAAAGGTTGTTTGATAACATTCAAGGCATGTTTCTTTAGGTGAACAATCGACATATATCATGAGTATTACAAAGGAGCCGACAATTTGACCATCACAACATGTTTCCACAGCACTTGCGTCTACCACAAGTACCTTGATTTGAGCTGCTCTTATTTATTCCTTCGTGGTCTTGAAATGTTATTCTGAAAAATAAAACTTGGAAGCAGGACAGCTTTTCCAATTCAGATGTTCTGTTTCCTCTAAATGTAGTCTGAGTTCATACAACATTCACAATCGAAACAAGTGAAATCGGTTACTGATCATGTGACAACCAACCGGGGGACCAGTATTTCAGTTTCATCACGGCCTGTAGTTTAATATGGGAGTAAACCCTGATCCGATGCAGATGTAAGACGTTCACAGAGATTTAACAGGTAGCGCATGGTGCTGAGAAACCTAGAAACATAATAAGAGCCAACCTGGATTCGAACCAGCTACCATAGGTTTCTGGCCCTCCCAAGGGACGGAACTCTCATTTGCAGCGACTTGTAGGCCTGAACAAGAAATAAGTGCATCTTGTCAAGTTCGGACATAATGGCGTCAGAGCACCAAGATCTCAAGTGTTGTAAGGATTAAACGAATTATTTACTGTATAATAAGCATAATTGAAATAGAACAAAACTGTATGAAAATATTCTTTAAATTTATCCTGACGCACGTATATGCATTCAACAGCTTCTGCATGCGTGTGGATAGGCGGTAAACGGAAACTTAATAAGTGGAAATGGTCCCACTCTGGAGCACGGATCACCTACAGCAGCTGGTATCCTAACGAACCAGATGGTCGTGGTGGAATCTTTGCTACTGAAAACTGTATTGAAGCAACTCCAACCGGAAGCTTTGACTGGAATGACCTGTCTTGCTTGGCGAAATGTCACTCCATATGCCAGACAAGGTGTGTATTAGATGAATGCCTCACACTCATTAAGCAGGATCTTTTTTCCTTCGATTAAATAATTATGTGATTATTTGTTGTTTTACGCCTCGCTCCGTAGTTTTTAGTTGTTTGACGACATCTTGCAAATAATCGAGTCTGGGCCAAACAGTCCAGACATTATTGGCAACTTCGAATTCGATGACACACAATCAATTTTGACGAAGTTTCTAAAACAGAATATCGCGTGTCTCAGAAACTGCTATAACTTATGAAGCTCGAGGTTGTTACTCTGATTGTCGTTAAACTCCGTACTCAGCAATTTTCAAACTATATAACAGCGGCTTGTACATAAACGAGTCAGGAGCAGACAATCTGGTGCTTGATATTGTGAGCAACGACCAACGCCGTCGGGAGACAATGAAACGTAGTCAACCAAGTCACCGAGCTTGCTCACAGGTCCACTTGGTCACTTCTTACGACCAGTATAGACTAATCCCACGCATTACCGTACGTCTGGTTGTACTTCTCCCAGTGGGATGACTCTTGGCAGGGTCAACGCGGAAACTATCATGTTGGCCGTGTACAGTGAAACCCCGTTAATCGTCCGGATTGACACATTTCCTGATTACGAATAATACGTGCATTGTTATGCCCTTATCCATACATTGACATACGAAACAGTATTCGTCCCTTAGGCAGGGTTCAATGTATCACCAAGTATTGTCTGTATGACTTAAACATAGGAACGTCCTTTCTGGGTTTCAACCCATGCTTGCCGTAAAAGGCGACTATGCTTGTCGTAAAAGACGACTAACGGGATCGGATGGTCAGGCTCGCTGACTTGGTTGAAGAATGTCATCGATCCCAATTGCGTGGATCAATGCTTATGACATCAATCACTGGATTGTCTGGTTCAGACACAATTATTTACAGACCGCCGTCATATAGCTGGAATATTGCGGCGTGAAACAACCAACCAACCAACAACCAACTTTTCTGGGTTGACATTGACATAAAACGGTATTCGTCCGTAAGGTGGGTTCCCGATCTATCGCTATCCGGAATAACGGGTTTCACTGTTTCAACAAGTATTGTCTACATGACTTAAACATAGGAATGTACTGTCTGGGTTTAGATAATCTGTTGTCTTAGTGTTTAATCTTAATTTGTTTTTATGTTGTCATATTGTTTTAAAGATGGAATGGTAAACAGCAGAAGATATACGACTTACGTAAGTAACCATTCATCTATAAACTTTAATATACATGTTCACCAAAGGCAGTTCTACAAATATGTACGTAAGTATTCGTTATGATCTTTTATATACATGTTCACAAAAGGCATATATTCGACTGAAATAAGAGCCGACTTAAATGTATATCAACAGGTCAGACTATCTGACATATTGTGTGTTATCATACACCGATGGCATTGCTGGACGAGTCGTTGATGGTACGAGCAACATGTCCCGTCATCGGAGTGTGATGAGACACCATCAGTGACATTGTAGTCGTCGCTATATGAGTGCTATAACCTTGAACTGGACGTTAAAACCCTATTTCATCTCACCCCACCTATCCACTAGATCAGGGAGTCTACAAATGTGCCTGCGTGTTCGAATACCTGAGGTGTGTACATATGCTCAAGTGTACGTACGCGTAGACAATGTCCCTTCGAGCATTCCATAGTTTGTCAAGGGCGGTCGGGTAGCCTAGTGGTTAAAGCGTTCGCACGTTACGCCGAAGACCCGGGTTCGGTTCCCGACATGGGTACAATGTGTTCTAGTGTCCCCCGCCATGATATTGCTGGAATATTACTAAAAGCGGCGTAAAACCAATCTCCCTCACTCACTCATAGTATGACATCAAATGACATGGAATCGCTTGCAATTTATTTTTTCTATTTAATCATGTGTGATCTCAAGCTGACTGCGGGGCCCATGGAGGAAAGGGATACGGACAATCCTGCTATGTTTACAGATCCGACAAACTCAAGTGGAATGAGGCAAAGGTGAGCATTATCACACCACGTAACTCACTGATAGTAATAATATAGAGAATAATTAAAAAGAAGTATTGAGTATAACAAAAAGGTGATAATGATATATGAATAATTTAATGATGAAGTCTTTGCTCGACAGATCTCTATATATAAGTTGTTTGATAATGACGACAAGAAGCTTTATAGGGTCACAGTCTTCATTATAGTTTTCGTTACGACGTGTTAAGGTTACTTCTTGCCCTTTCAAATGATGAAGGGATAAAAAGTATCCCGGAATCGACAAGAAAGAAGTGGTTTTTAATGAATAATAATAACGATGATGGGTGTAGTAATACTTATGATACATGAATGCTAAACTAAACATGGTGATTATAACAGTGGATCGCCCCCTAATATGATAACAGTGGTTGGACCCCGCTCACAACACGTTGATTCATTCCTTGTAGAATAAGAGGCGAGTGAACGAATAGGGTGTTCAGGCTCGCTGACTTGGTTGATTCCGGGTCATCTTATTGGGACCACGTTGTCAATCACTTGGTTCTTTACAGGCCGCTATCATTTAACTTGAACGCTGTTGACATCGGCAATATACAACAAACAAAACTCAATGATTATAATGGTGATAGTTCAGGAGACAAACTGTAAAATGCACCAATAATGATATTAAGTCCTCATTAGTAAACTTTTGCTGAAGTCTTGCTTTTTCTTGCCAGGAGAGCTGTATTCAGTTGAATATGCATCTTGTAGAGATATCGGAAGAAGACGAAAACAGCTTTGTCCGATACTATATCATGTCTCTCAAAAGTAAGAGAACCTGTGCATGCTTTTATTATTACTGTACATGTGCAAAGGGGGGCGGTTTACAATGAGATATGCTACCACTGAAAACAATAAGAAGGGAAGGTGCATGGAAGTTAGCCAATGGCCAAGTCACAAACGGCTTTAGGCTTTGAGTGTACAAGGAGTGTAGGCTTTATGAAACCAAATAAAGGACTCTATAACATGTTAACTGAATGTTTAATCAATGTTAAGGTCACCGTACTCTGGGAAAACCCTGGAACGATGCACATAAAATCAACCACTAGTTTGATAGGTGGGGTAAGAAAGAAACCAACAAGACAGTTTTGAAATGTTGAGTTTTGGTTTCGTGAATATTATAAATAAGCGTGGCAATAAGTTTAGTCAGACAACGTAAAATGATCCAATTATTATCCTGTACCAGAAATGACGTTCAACCATTATAACCCTACGCACTTAATATTTAGTCTCAAGATACACATCCATTTGGACGGGACTGAATGACATTCATCAGGAAGGGGACTGGGTCTGGGCGACAAGTGGCACAGAGGCTAACTTCACTTACTGGGCTCCTGGTAACCCTAGTGGGGTTAAGCGACGTATTTTGAATCATCTGGAAGAGGACTGCGTTGAGATCAATGTACACGGAAACTATAAATGGAACGATCAGAGCTGTGGGAAACCATTTACATACATTTGTGAAAGCAGGTAATATAACTTGGGACTACACAAAACCCATGATATAACTAAGTGGAAAGGACGCTAAAAATCATTTCCTTTCATTCGTATTTCGTTATTGTCCTTAACGATAACTATATAGCCTTCTTTGGGATGGAATAAATTCGTAATATCCGTTGTTTTCTATCACATATACTTTTAACGATTTTTGAAATATATAATGCATTCTTATAGAATAAATTACTGATCAAAAGAAAGAACATATCGACTTGGACTGCTTATAAAAAGAAGACGAGAATATGTACACATTTCATTTGATATGTGTCTTGAAGTTCAATCATTTATGTTACAAGCCAAAACACATTTTCATGACACTTGGAATGAATTAAGAAAACGTATTTAAACACTCCTGGGGCAATAACTGTCACTTTCCACAAATATATGATACAACACTGATAACAAAGCTTCTGAACGCTTCCATGCCACCTCGATAATGGCATCCATATCGTGTGTGACCTCCTCGGGCGTCCAGACAGGCTTTGGAACGACGCCTCATCGATGACGTCATGAAATCTTTGATAGGCATTTAGAAGTTGTAAGAACATGAATACAAGAAACTCTTTTTAAACTTATAAAAAGTGTCATGTATTGATGACGTATTTGCTTATCCATTCTTTTGCCAAAAAAAACAGATGTCTGGGGTTCTCAATAGACGATGTTGTCGAAATATGTTATTATTTGACGACAAAAAACGTTGGTTATTACCAAAAGCGAATAAAGCACAAGAAACATAATTGTATCTTTGAACAATCGATATTCACGCCCACGTTTGGATTTCGGGTTAGAATAGTATCTCTACCATGCTTGTTAAAAGAAGCCGACTAATTTGTATCGGGTGGTCACAATCAGTGGCGTTGCTGATTGTGTGCTACCATACAATGTCGCGAGGGCGTGGACCATGTTAGCAATCGATGGTTTGCATGACCCAGATTCGACAGCTGAATTATTACTCACAACTGCAGGGTGCAACACCTTTCACATAAATCCACAGAGAGTACAGGAATTATGGAATGACGAAAATAATGTCAATGGCAACACGCTTAGAATTTCAGGCAAAACAACCAATTTTGTTGAACTATATGTATATTTGTTAAATAGAGAGACCTACGTTCATCCATTATCATTGAAACATACCGTTTTACTGAAACCACCAACCCAGTAACTGGCTAGGATTTGTCTACACTGTTAACATAATTGTTGAATCGTTGATAGATAGAATCGTTGAGGATGAAGTTCTTTAGTATGAAGATGTACACCTTTAAAGCAATGTATTACTTGCATACAAACTGTTGTTTATCTTAAAATCTCCTTTATAGAACCTTTATTAGCACATGTGCGTATTAAAATGATTAAACGTATACAACATTTTAAATTATTTTTTTAATATTGTATGGATTATGGCCTGTTATTATCAACTTTTGTTATTATGTTCATTGTAAAGATATTTCTAATGCGTGTAGTCTGTGGTTTTTGCGTTTTCATGTGCGTGTGTGACACATTAATATAAAAGGACGAATCTGTTTTAAAATTGCAGATGGAAACGGTAACACGTGGTGGGATTAATACAGTTGGACCATGCACAATGATAGAAAATTGAAGACAAATCCAAACCATGGTCCATGGTTTCACGGATTTTCGCCTATTGCGCCATTGTTTTGGTGTTTTGTGATGCGGTCAACTGCAAAAACTCACGGCCATATCGGTGCGTTGTGGCAGAGAACTGCAAATTATCTCAGCAATGAACCGTATCATAATAAATACTGTAACACATTTCAGAACATCAGGCAAAAGACCCTTTGAATAAAATACATCAGTCGTTTCATTCCTATTTGTATGAAGCATGCCGTCACTCTTCTCTCCTATTTAAGTTTTTGTGGGGTGGGGTGGGGGGACAGATTTCCAGCCAACTTCTCCCTTGGAATGAACTGTGCAGAGTGGATACGGAGTTAGAAGGCCATATTCGCACTGATTATTGTTATTCCTATGTCAGCAACATACCCGTGCTCTTGGTTATAACCAAAGTACTATACCCAAGGGACCTGCATCACCTCGGGCTCCCAATCCACAATTAACTGTCACTTCGGGGTATAACTAAATGATTGTTCAACACAGTTGTAAACGTGTACCCCCTGCGTGACGTCGGGGTTTCCTGCAACAGCAATTAACAGCGTCAACACCCACTGATGATCACACTGTTCCTTTTTTTTTATTAAAACGTCCAATGCACATCTACGGAAGCCTTTTAGGGCCATTTGTTTTTTTAATTTTTTCGTGATATATTATAATTTCAAGATACTAAGTTGAAATTTCAAGATACTAAGTTGAAATTTCAAGATACTATCTTGAAATTTCAAGATAGAGAAGTTGAAATTTCAAGATACTATCTTGAAATTTCAAGATACTAAGTTGAAATTTCAAGATACTAAGTTGAAATTTCAAGATACTAAGTTGATATTTCAAGATTATTCACTTCAAACGTATTTTTACATCTTAGGATGTTAAAAACTTAGTATCTTGAAATTTAAACTTAGTATCTTGAAATTTCAACTTAATATCTTGAAATTTCAAGATAGTATCGATAAAAAGAAAAAAACAAATGGCCCTAAAAGGCTTCCGTACACATCTCTTTATCAGTTTGTCTTTTTTTGTTTTGCTGCCGCTGCCATCACACAGTTCAGTAAAAATGTCGGGTAAAAGGAAGTATACACTTGAAACTTGGATTTGACCAAGAAATTACAAACGTTATGAAAACGTTACAAGGTTGAAAGCAATGTCCGAAACACAACTGTGATACCCATTTCAAACACATCACCATCGAATAACCATTTCTTGTTTGTTTCATTTTTAGCCACCATCAAACGTGCGTATGCTTTCTTTTGCACAGTACTTTATAGCACGACGATCTACAAATGCATGTTTGAGGCCACTAAGTAGATAGAGACAACCTACAGACATGTAGTTGGTAGCCATTCCTGTATTCAACTACAACAACAGAGTTACTTGAAAAACTGGAATTCACAGGAGCACACGTGAAAGTAGGAGTCAGGCGAAAAGAAACACATTCTGGTATTACAGTGAAACCAATATTATCTGTTTATAGCATGATCGACGTCGGGGCAGGATGACACCATCAGCCAAGTCACGACACACATGAGATACTGGAACCCAGCAATACACGGAATACCTTTAGAGGTGCATTGCACATATTCCCAAAGGTGTTTAGTGAGTGAGTGAGTGAGTTGGGTTTTGCGCCGCTTTTAACAGTATTACAGATATATCTCGGCGTGTCAACTTTATATGGGAGGAAAGCCCGAAGTGATGCAGGTCTCAGACGTTTACCACTTCGAGGAAACCCACGAGCACGGGTATGGTGCTGACAAACCTAGAAACATAATCGGGGCGAGCCGGGATTCGAACCCACAATCATAGTTTTCTGGCGTGCCCAAGGGACGCAACTCTGCACAGCGAATCGCGGCGCTTTAGACGACTGGGCCACCCGTGCCCCCAAAAGGTGTTTAGTTTTGTTTTCAGCAAGTTGAATGTATGCTATACGAAACGCCACAATGCTGTTCAATGCCCCACACATCGAATAGCCTGCGTCGTTAGAACAATGGTTGAATTCAGTGAAGTTTGTTTTGTAGGCGAGACATTTGATACATATTCCTCTATGACACTTACTGCATAAAATAACCTACGCAAAACTCGGATACATTGACCATCAAAACCAATAATCGTTGATGTTTGTAAGGGCATAGAGATTGGATTTCTGTAAAATGTTTGTATCTTTGTTGTTTAACATCGCACTCAGCAATGATCTAGCTACTTGTATATAACGGAGGTCAGGACCACACAATCAAATGATGGATATCAGGAGCATCAATCTACGCATTTGGGATAACAATGTCATGTATGAACCAAGTCAGCGAATCTGACCCCGATCCCGTTAGCCGCCCCTGATGTCAAGGGCGGGTTGCTAAAGACCAAGTTCAACCCAGATCTTCACGGGGGTTCGGTGAAATACGGCAAATGACGCGGGGAAATGGTTGAAGCCAGATGAGATTTGTGTGGACAATTATCGTCAAAGAACAATAAATGGAACATCATCCGGTGGTGATCAAAGATGAAGATGTCAATAATACAGGCCATCGTAGGAGCGGTGGGGGTAGCCAAGCGGTTAAAACGTTCGCTCCCACGCCGAAGAAACGGGTTCGTTTCCCCTCACATGTACAATGTGTGAAGCCCATTTCTAGTGTCCCCAGACCTGACATTGCTGGAATGAAAGCAGCGTAAAACCATATTCACTAACTCACTCCCCATCGTATTCCCATGAAAGGCATTTGAAACTGATGACTAGACCATGACGTTGTATTTTAGATTGTTTATGTAAATATTAGACTATATCAAAATATGACCAGTTCAGGACCTTAATAGTTTGCACAGGAATGGATTCCCGTGTCTTACCTTTGCATCATCCTGTTCTATTGCGAAGCGTTTACTGTAACAGGTTTTGCCAAACTTTCCTGTGTGAGTGGTCATTTGAAACCAGACA